CTGCTTTTGGGTTTGTGAAACTGGCCCTGCCATTAATCATCCCTATTCTCTGGGCAACATAATGAAGCCTCTCTGAACTTGCTTCCTCATCTATGAAATGAGATTTACATGGCACAGCACTGTGACCAGTCAACAAGTAATAACTTTATCTTTGAAAGCCTTTCAGTCTCCTCCTCTCTCCACCCACACTAAAAAAAAACCCTGGATCCCCAACCCCACTTCTACCTTGTCTATGTCATCCAAGGAGCTCAGCAAATTGAGGAGTTAAAGGCCAGGCTGGCAGGGCAGAAGGAACAAAGTAATTTTCCTGCTCTCTGCCCTGCAGTTTCTTCCTCACAGCACAGAGCAGATCATTTACCCCAAGAGGCCCAAGTGGGTGGGGGTAGGAAAAGTCCGAATTGCCGATGAGATGCTAGAGAAGGGGGCAGGCAGAGAAACTGCGAGGGAGAAAGGAGTAGGAGTAGGAGCAGAATCTGTATTTTACTCCTGGGCTATGGGCCTCTCCCGCCCCCCTCCCACAGTCCCTCAATCCCAGTAGCCCACTTGAACCAGACATGAACCAGCGGTGCAGGTAGGGCTAACCTGCAGGTGAACTCAGTTCAATGTCCCAGGTTTTGGAAGAGGTAGCCTTCTGCTGCATAACAGATGCCACTCCTCAGGGGCACTTTAGGTAGGAGGATATGTCCAGCACCAGGGCACAAGCACCAGGTCCCATGCCACTACCCAGAGCTGGCACAAGTTTCTTGTAGCAACACCCCGCGCCCCAGAAGAGGCACCTGAACAGCGGGAGTGGAGGCGGATACTGCTTTTTGTTGTCCTCGGGGTTTGAAAACTCCCTGGGTGCCAAGGACCCCGCTGTCACCTGGGTCACCAGCCCTTCCCCTCCTTATCCCTCTCCCAGCCCCAAACCCCTTACCGTTTGACGTGCCCAAGATGGACCGGTCCGCCGCCCAGAGACTGCTGGCAAAGGGGCGGGGCCAGCGCTGTGACGTTAGGTCGGGATTAAAGGATCGTTTGCATTCCTCTGCTCGCCCCCAGCCATTGGTGGGCCGCGAAACGCCTCCTAGCTGCTGTGCCCGCCTCCTGGAGGCCGCCGCAGGCGGGGCGCCTCCAGGGCTTGAAGCTAGAGTAGGTTTTTTGTGGGGTTTTTTTTTAACCTCCTGGTCGGACAAGAAATGGCAGGCACCCTCACCGATGTTGAAACCCGGGCAGTGGAAAGTGACGATGACTCTAAAGACTGGGCTTAAATGTGGGAGACTTTGAGATGACCCTGCCCCGCCCCTACTGCTGAGGCTTCAGGTGCGTTCACTGGAAGAGGCCTGAGGATCCAGCCAGCCTTCTCTGGGCGGTGAGGCTTGCCTTTACGCTGTTTTTGACAAACATCTATGTTGCAGCTACAACAGCTGTGTGTCTTTTACTTTAGAGAGAACAAGGTCAAGTGATTCTCTTGCATACAAGAGTGAGAGCAGAAACGAAGCCTAAATAGTGGTTCAAAGACTTTGAGATTCCTTGGACTAGTCGAATTTCTCCCCAAATCATGGAACCAACAACATTGAATAGCCATCTTTTATTTTAAGCCAATTTTTAAATATTTTATTTTTTAGAGGGGGGAGGGAAGGAGTAAGAGAGGAAGAAAAACATCTATATGTGAGAAACATCAAGTGGTTGCCTCTTGCAGGCCCCCAATTGGGGACTCGGCCTGCAACCCAGCCATGCGCTCTGCCTAGGAATCGAACCAGCAACCTTTCGGTTTGCAAGCTGGCGCTCAAGCCACTGAACCACACCAGCCATGGCTGAGTGGTTAAATCAATTTTTAAAAATCATTGTTTAACAAGAGCAACGACACAGAACACTCCAAATTAGGAAGATGATAATCGTTCATAATCTCAGAGCAAAGGACACTAACACAAGTCATTTGCTTTACCCTTTTACCATTTGGTGCAGGACTAAAAATTTGTCATAGGCCAGCTGTGAACCTGGGATAAACATATCTACACTGCCCTCTAGGGAACAGAAGGTTGAGCAACAACTTTACCTTAAGGTTTTCATCTTTAATTTTGGAAGATCATTTCCCCTCCCTTTCTGCTCTCCTGAACTTGAGATTTTACCAGGAATCAAGGAGTCATGGGAGTGTCATGGGAGAGTAGTAAGAAATATACAGAAAGGGGAAGTGACACCAAATAGGTGATTTTGGCTGTAAAGTTTTTAGAAATAGATTTTCAATCCAACTGTGTACAATTAAATTATTGGAGAGGCCTGGTACAAGACCTATCTTACCAGTTTTAAAAAACAGGCTCAGCACAAGGACACGAAGAAGTCAGTTAGGGACCACCTGAAGCCATGGGGATGGAGAATATTTCTCCCTAAAAAGTTATCGTTTCCTTGTATGTGACATACATGCTGCACGTCAACAGTCCTTTAAACCTCAACTTTATTTTACAGAGGGCAGTTAAGTAACTGATCAAGGCCACAGCTGGTAAGCTGGCAGAGACAGGATTGGAATGCTGGGTCTGTTTGGCACCAGTTCTCTTTCCTTTGAATTCTTTGGAATTTAAAACTCCTCCTGCAACCATACCTAATCTTTTCTATGTATCATTTCCCCCCACCCAAGTCCACTTAGACTATGACAGACTAAAGGGCTTCACATACAGTAGGAAACAAGATAGATCCAGGAGAAATTTTCCTGTGGGGGGTAAAGCCACATAATTGGTCAAAAACACTAGTTCAGTGATTTTTTTTTTTTTAACCTTCTTTAGGTCATGGCCCTTTTGAGATACTAGTAAGGCAAAGGACCCCCTTCCTACAGAAATGCACATAAATTTTTGCATATTTCAAAGAAGTCACAAATTCCACCTCTCCAATCTCATCAACTGTCTGCCCAAAGGTCCATAGATGTCCTCCACCCTCATATATACATTGTTAAGAGGACCTAAAAAAATGACCTATGTTTAGATTTGATGAGCTCTTTAGTGATTTGGGAATAGGAGTGACTGAACAGTAATAAAGAGGCTTATTTTCCAAATTGCATTATTTCACTATTCAAGGAAAGATTAGAGGTAATTAAGAGGCACCAAGATGCAGGCACCTTGCTGGTGTGGCTCAGTTGGTTAGAGCATCATACCATAAACCAAAAAGCTGCAGGTTCAATCCCTGGTCAGAATACATACTGAGGTTCTGGGTTTGATCCCTGGCCGGGGCACTTACAGAGGCAACCAATCAATGTTTCTCTCTCTCTCCCCACAACCCCACCACCAACCCCCCCACCCCCGCAAAAACAAAAGCAATGAAAAAAATGTCCTCGCGTGAGAATTAAAAAACAACAGAAAACTGATGCAGGGGAGGGTGTGTTTCTGAATCAGTAAAACATTGGGTGCCCTTTCTTTCAAATTTCTAGTATCAGTCAAAGTAAAAAAAAAAGAAAAAAGAAAAAAGCAACACTCCAATACACTTTTCTTTTTTTTTTTCTTTTTTACTTACATTAAATACATCGGTAAATCAGCAGTCGCATTCTGTTACCACGATTGTTATGTTGGAAGAGGATGAAGGGGGGAAAAGGCAAATGCTTTCTCAGAAAAAAAGAGACCCCCCAAAAAAAACTGATCGAAAAGGAAAAAATGAAGAGCTGGGAAATAAAAACAAAGATCCCCAAGCCCAACAGAGCTCAACAGAAAGCAGAGAGCTGGTAGGAAGTAGAAGGAAGGCAGCAGATAGGCCCAGAACCTAAGGCCAATCCTAAAGGGTGCGGGACGGGGGAGAAGCCTGGATAAATGGTTTCCCAGACCCAAGGCAATGAAACATTCTCACTCCTGCTCCATGGGGAAAGCTGCACAGAGAGAGAACTTCATTTCTAAGATTTAAGAGAGTTATCCTAATTCTTCCACTTAAAAGGATGCACTGGGTGCTCTTGGGGGCTTAGTGGGGTGCTGGAAGGCAAAAATGTATGTGTGTTTCAGGGCCACAGGAAATAAGGCTGCCCCTGGAAAAGGAAGGGAATTGAGGCCTAAGTGGAAGAACTTAAGCTGGGTCCTTCAGAATCTCAGCCTCATGGATTTCTCAGCTGCTCTGGGACAGAAGGAAGTCTGCAAGCCAAAACGGCAGAAACGTTCCAATCCTAGGTCACCAAAGCCCTCACTGAGGCCTTTCCATATTACTTCCCCCAATTGTCCCAAAACTCTAGGCTGGAACAAGGAGCTTAGAATTCTCTACTGCCTTAATGGCTTCCCAAAGACGTCCTAAAATACCTGATGAGGGATCTGGAGAGAGGCTAGAGATTTAGAAAGGACCAACATCTTCTGGTGATGTGAGACAGTTGTGAGGGGACCTTCAGTGCCAGTCATTCTCTGTCCACAGGAACAGGTGTTATAAGGAGGCTAACAGTAGGTCTCTGCGGTACTAGCCCCTAGTGGTATTTGAATTAAACCACTGGTTGCATGGGGAATGAGTATGGGGATAAGCACAAAAGGACTAAACTGAAGATACTAACCAAGGGGAAAAGAAATAAGGCCTGATTGGGGCGCGGGGGGCGGGGGGGCGGGGCATGGGGCAGACAGAACAGACTGTACAGTGTGAATAAAGATCATACCTATTTACAGGGAAGTAGAAAACACATGGTAACAGGTGAATCAAATTGAACATGAACCTTGGGAAAGGAGAGAAAGCTCCTCCCTCTTGCCTTACTCCTCTTCACCCCCTTCCATGGCCTGTGCTATCCTGAGACCGCTCTCCAGTTGCTTCAGTTAATTCCCTAGAAAAGGCAAACCTATACCCAAGAGCTAGGCTGGCAAGAATATAGGTTAAGAATCAGAGCTGGAGGAAGCTAGCAGTGGAGATTGGGCTTGAGTAGCTGCCACTGATACTGTTCTCTACAGTCCCTCCCAAAACCTCATATACAACTTGGATTCCATTTAATTAAAAAAGTGAGAGGGCAAGTAAATCAATCAAAATCCCCATAAAACAAGTATCCCAGCTGAACTACCATCAATTAAAGTGCAAACTGCAGGGGGATACAGTGGCTGGGCCTGAGGCCATCTAAAGGCCAGAGAGAAAAAAAATGCATATGTATAAATCAGAGGATGGATATCAGAAACTGGTCCCTCCTCCAATTAGATCACAGCAGAGCCAAAGATGCAGGCAACCAGTGAAGATTCTTTGGAGGACCCTGGGGTCTGGTGTCTCCCCCACTATGGGGGAGAAGCTACCTAAGAGACTGAGGGGAAACTAGGCCTTGGAAGAGTTCAAGAGCCATAGATGATACTGCATCTCCACCTCCTCCTCCACCTCTGCCCAGTTAGCTAACAACATGACTCTCATCTGGTGCCGGAGAGCTTGCCTTCCCATTCTTACTTTACCTAGAAACACCTTCCACAAGGCCAACTCATGGATACTGCAGTGTTTTCAAATGAGAAACTCCAACCAAATAAAACCAAAAAAGGACATTTCCTTACTCCCTTCTGCTCTGAGCCTTACTCTCCCCAGGGCCTTTAATGTGACTGAATTGGAAACCTTCTTCTTCAGTTCCTGGGTTCACCACCTTCTCCATCCTGGGGAGAGGTGGAAAAGGGGATCAAGAACAGGGTTGACCAAAAGCAGAAGGAGCAGGAGACCAAAAAGTGTTCTCTGAAAAAATGGGGAGGAGGAGGAAAGATAAGTAGGTCACTGTCTTGCACCTATAATACAAAGTGAAGAAAGTTTGTTTTGGAAGGTAAGTCCTGGGAGATCTGACCCCCAAGCCCCAGAGTAGGGGTAGGAGGTCAGCGGCAACAGCTGCCTGGTGTTGGTTGCTGAAGCGTTAAAAAGTGCCATGACGGAGCTGTCAGGAGGCAGCCCTTGGGAGCCAGGGCTCAGTGTGCTGTTACCGTAGGGGCTGTGTGCTGAGGGGTGGGAATGGAGATTATTTTTTAGCTCTCGTGCTAGCTCCATACTTGTTTGCTGCTAGCTGCCCCCTCAGTTGCTACAACACTGGCTCTTGTTCTGCTGGGACTGCTCATGGAGATCCACGCCTCGGCTTCGGCCTGCTGCACCCCCCAGATTCTGGGGTTCACTCTTTGGCAACTTCTTAGCTAGAGAGAAAAAAGAGAAGGGAACAAAGTATGGTAGATTTTAATTCACCCTCACCCCTCCCCACCAAAGACTATTGGGTGGGGGAGAAGTAATGGGAAAGGAGAAAATGAGATATTGAAAAAATGTTCTAAAGAGGGGCGGCTTTACCAATTGTAAACTACATTAAATACGAGGGTGCCCAGGCTGCAGCTAAAGGATGCAGGTCGCAGTGGAAAGTTACGGTATTTCCATACCCGAAGTTTTCACAAGAGGAGACACCTCCATTTATCCTTATGACATGGGTTAGTGATCCTGCCCAGAGGTAAGGGGAAAAAGACAGGAAGACCTTACCTATTGCCAGGAAGAGATCGTTGACGTTCATAGCTGTCTTCGCTGAGGTCTCCATAAACAATAAGCTGTTGTCATCTGCATACGCTTGGGCCTCCTGCAAGGGGTAGGGTATACTGGTGCTCAGAATGTAGTTTAGGAACGAGTATGGTCCTTCCACTCCCATGTAGCACCAGAGCAAGGCAATATCCTAGGTTCCCTCACCTTAACTGTACCTCTGAGCCAGGTGGCCCTGGACCCATATTTTGGTGACAACTCCCTCAAGAATAACCCAAGGTCTAGACCACTTTATGCAACAAACATATCAGGAATCTTAATTATGGGAGATAGGGTAAGTTGATTGGGGGCTCTTGGGTTCTGGCCCTTGAATAGTCCCTTGCCTCAAATTCAATTGCTCCCTCCTTCCTGTTTTCACACTGGTATCCCCACAGCTGGTACCCCCTACCCACCCCTCTGCTCTGGAATTTTCTTCTGATTCCTCTAAAATCTCCTGGCTGTCATTAAGATCATGGTGTTGCTGTTTTTAACATGGAGCAGAACTGGGGAATGAAATGATGAATGTCCCCAGATGAGGTTTCCAGAGAGAGCAAGTTTGGACAAAAAAGGTCCCAAGCACAGAGGGAGTGCATTAGAAAGGGACTCTATGACCCATCTTACTTCATAGTCCACCATGCGCTTGTTGGCCAGGTCAGCTTTGTTCCCCGCCAGAGCTATAACAATGCTAGGACTGGCCTGTCGCTGTAGTTCCTTTACCCATGTCTTCGCTCGGGCGAAAGTTTCCTAGGAAAACATGAGGAAGAAAATAGGTGGCTGGACTGACTGCTAATCCAGGCCCATCATTTTTAAAATCCAGTCTCAAAACTCACCTGTTCTAGGTGGCCTTCCCTCACTGAAACCACCCATCTCTGATAATTTATTACCCATCTTCCGAGTACTTGGAAGCATAATTTTGCTATTTTGAGAACTTGTTTTCTCTCCCTCACCTAATTTAATTCCTATAAATAATGGCAAGGATAATCTTCTCAGCTCACTTACCTGATTAGTAATGTCATAAACCACAATTGCAGCTTGGGCACCTCTGTAGTACATGGGAGCCAAGCTATGGTATCGCTCCTGCCCTGCTGTATCCCAGATTTCAAACTTGACTGTTGTGTCATCTAGGCAAACGGACTGGGTGAGGAAGGCCGCTATGGATTAGAGAACAGAGAAGTTGTTTTGAGAGGATGAATGGGAACATCCCACTGCCCCTTCAAAATGTCTCTACTCTCAGTCTAAAGCCAGTCATGACCTGGGCCATTCAGTTACAGGAAAAGGTTTAGTGTTTTCCTGTTTCTACATAGGTCCTGGAACCAGGATTAAGACTGCCCTTGGAGAAGTCCAGCCAGAAGTTTCTCTAGCTAATGAATGGGCACACATCATAGACTACAAGGGACAGAAAGAACTGGCACTTATACCAGACTCATTTATCTTCTGACCAAAAAATAAGAATAAGAGATAATAAGCTTCAGATAAAACTCACATCAAGAACTTTGTAAGATTTTAAAGCTTGATGGGAGGTCCCACCATTATCCATGTTATTTGGCTGTTACTTTTTCATATAATCAAAAAGATTATAGCAGGGAAGGAGTGACATGGGAGTTCTCATCAAAGATCCTTTTGAATTACCCCTTATTTGGGGGTAATGGCAGGGAGAAGGTAGCAAAGGTGGGAAAAGCAGATGACTTTGATCTTTTGTACTTAGTTCCAGCCTCTATTTTACCAGATATGTGCACCAGAATGCACATATATACATGCCTATACCTCTGCCACCTCCAATAGTAATCAGCAGATCTGGGATAGGGCCCAAACATGCATAGGATTAAAATGCTCCCCAGATGATTCTGATGTGCATTTTTAATTACGAATCACTGCCCCAAACCAACCCTACTCAAGATGACAACTGAACTTCAATGGGATTAAGATGAAAGTAGGAGGAGGAAGACATAAAAAATTAGTGATTTTACTAATGCACAAAGGTCAATCTTTCATACTTCCTTCTTGAAAGCAAAAGGATGAATATATTCCTGCTTTTTGGCATCATAGCAATTTTTTTCTGTTTTATAAAGGATTTCCATTCTAGGGGGCTAAGAGGTCCAGGTTCACAGTCAGGTCCCTAGGTCTCCCTTCAAAAGCCTTACTAAGCATCACACCTCTTCTTTCCCTGAGATACTTACCTCCAATGGTGCTCTCCTGGTACTCATGGAACTGTCCTTTGACAAAACGTAATACCAGGCTAGACTTCCCCACTGCAGATTCACCCAGCAGGACCAATTTGAACTGGCATATTTTGTTGGCCTGGGGCTGCCCATTGGGCCTGGCTGTGCTTCTGCTTGTCATGGTTAGATTTTCAGAGTGGGAAAGGATGGAGGGAAGGGGATGCCACAAAGCGGCAAAGGGGGAAGGGGAAGGGGAGGGGACTTCCAGGCTTCAACAGTCCTGCAAGAAAAAAAGCAGGTAAAATTAAACACAGGGCCATTACAGCTACAATTGCTTTTTAGACGAAGGCTAGAATCACCTCATTTCTTTGCTCCTATGATCTTATAATCATCCACCATTAAAAGATTACACCACTGAGTGTAAACAGGCAGCTGACACTCAGTGTTAAGTGTAGGGAACAATAAAATAATAAGTGCATAAGAAGTAGAGTTTGCCCTACCACATAATTTCCAACTGCCAAGGGAGACTGAAACTTTGAGAAGTCTTTATTCCTTCCATTAATTTCCCACTATATCTTCAAAGAACTTTTAGTTGGCCTGAAACCCACAAGCACCTACATCCTCAGTATCTCCTTGGTTTTCTGGGGCTGTCCTTTTACTTCCTCCCACTACAGTTTCTCTCTAGCTTTTAAAATAAGTGATTCATTCTAGGGGTGCGGAATGTCATCTCTCCTAACATTGGAGGGGTTAACTTCTGGTTCTGTATCCTTCATATATGACTAGTTGTCTTGACATTTCTGAAAAATCTAACCAAGGTCCAATTGCCAGAAAAACCTATCCATTCTCACTTCTGGCCAAAGGTGAGCAGAGAAACACAATCAGCAGGCTGCATTTGGTATCAACTGTTTCATTTTGCTTCTGCTGCCTCTCCACGTCTGAAACGGCCTCTCAGGTCTAAGAGTTAGTAGGCTTGACCTGCTCTCAACTTGCAGCTGTCTTCCTGGTGCTTAGGGATTAGATTACCCTCTATACTAAACTGGCCCAACAGCTGTAGCCCTCCAAATTAGAGGCAGAGAAAGAAGGTGTACCTTCTAAACACATACAGGAATCTCCAGGGGGTGATGTCAGAGGAGGCAAAGAGAGAGAAAGAGAATGAAGAGAGAAGCTGGGACTTTGGGAGCCTAATCATCCAAACCTGATATTTCATTATCTTGACCCTGAGGGGAAAGGAACCATGACATTCAAAGAATAGTTAGTATGATCAAAGAATGCAAAACCTCTCTAAATCCTAAGCATCGCTTGGGTTGTACTTTGCTTGTTCAAATTAATTTTTTCCCTTCTCCAAGGTTGACTCTAGCGACTCCACAACCATAATGCTCTGGCATACGTCGGGAAACATTATTTTGTCATTACAGCAAGTTGTTTTGGAGCCAAATCAGGGTAGAAAATTTTTGCAATCCTAGTAAAGGCAGAAGAGACAGTAAAGATAGTTGACAGAAAAAATCATACAGGAGGCAGTACAGAGGCACAAAGGCTATGGAGTCCAATTCACTGGGTGTATTTTACAAGTCTGCTTACTAACTGTGCAACTTTGAGCCAGTTACCAAATTTAATTTATATATTCCTTTTCTCATCTGTAAAATGGATAATAGCTTTATAAGGAACTACTTCATAAGGTTGTTGTGAGGATTAAATGAGATAATATATGTATATAAAGAGCTTGAAGTGTTTGACCCAAAGTGCGCAAATGGCTATTAAGCTACTAATCATTAGTATGACATCGAGAACATTTTTCTGCCCAAGCCTTAACTTTCACTTTTATAAAGTGGAAAAAATACGTACTTCATAGAGTGGTTATGAAGATTAAGTGAAAATTTATTTAGCATAATGCTAATAAACAAGATAGGTATTGCTACTGAGTGGCCCTAATTCACAGAAAAGATCAATTTAATGTATAATTCAGTATTAGTTGTCAATATATTCCTAAAAAGCAGCCATGATATAAAAGAGATGGGGGAAAAAACGTGTAAAGAGGAAGTTGGCATAGAAGTGAGAACTCAGAAAAGTCCCAAAGTATACTAGAGTAAGACAGAAGAATGGAACAAGTTACTCTGATCCTACTGGGCATTCTACAGTACCCTTGGCCAGTAAGTCCTACAAATCCAGATCCACATGTGCCATTTTGTGATGAGGTTTTCACTGGTCTATAATGAAATGATAAAAATAAAGATGATATAGCAAGTTTTTTGTAAAGCTAAATTTATTCAACTTAGAGTGTTCTTTATTACAAGATTTTGTTTCTTAGAATCAATGCTCTCTCTCTCTCATGGAAAAACCTCTCAGACCTATTGTGAAGTTGAAAAAAAAAAGAGTTGTAGACAAGCCCTGGCTGGTGTGTCTCTGGGGGCTGAGTGCCAGCCTGAGAACTGAAAGGTTGCCGGTTTGATTCCCAATCTGGGCACATGCCTAAGCTGCAGGCCAGGTCCCTGGCCAGGTCTGGTTGGGGGTGTGCAACCGATGGATGTTTCTCTCACACAGCAACATTTCTCTCCCTCTCTTTCTCCCTCCCTTCCCCTCTCTCTAAAAAAAGTAAAATATTTAAAAAAAAAGTTGTAAGCTAAAACACATGTTGGATCCTATTTCTGTAAAAAAGAAAATCCTACACAGAAAAAGTTATTGAAAGATACACACCTATCTGTTAACAGTTACCTCTGAGGAGAGTGGGACTGAGGAAAGCGGCATGTGAAGAATTCAGATTTTCCTTCCCAACCCAACTCTCTGGACTGAGCAGGACCTGGAGGGAAGAGCCCCAGCCTCAGGGACACAATAAAGGTTTGCTTTGCCAGGAAAAAAAAAATTCATTTTTTTCATTCTACTTTTTTTTTTAAATTTAATTTATTTATTTTTAGAGAGGGGAAGGGAGAAAGAGGGAAACATCAATGTGTAGTTGCCTCCTGTGCGCCCCCTACTGGGAAGCTGGCCAGCAACTCAGGCATGTGCCCTAGACTGGGAACCAAACCGGTGGTGACCTCTTGGTTAGCAGGCCAGCACTCAATCCACTGAGCCACACCAGCCAGGGCTACTTAATTCTTCTTTTTTTTTTTTAAATAAGAAACATTTTAAAAAATAGTTTTCTAAACAAGTGTTTGGTTTTTTTTTAATGTTTAAAAAAAATAATGGTGACAGTAGTAAACTTCCTAAATATAATTACTTGGAAAAATAAAACCCCCAAATATGAATTTAAATTTATTGGTCCATGAAATCCAAAATTCTGGGAACCAGTACTGCAAGATCAGTATTAATTGGCTTCTTAACAAATATTAAACAGTTCTTTAGCTGTTTTCACCCTCAAACCTTTTTAGAGTAGTGTTTCTCAAACTGTGGCTATAAGCCAGTAGCGACCTTGATATCACTTGATGGGTCATGATCAGTATATTAAAAAAAAAAATCAAGTATATCGCAAATAGTATAAGAATAATGTTGTAAAAATGTCACTTGTATATGTATACACACTGAATTATGATGTAAAATGTTTTTTTTTTTAAAATAATGTTACTTGTGATCAAAAAGTTTTAAAAACACTGCTTTAGATGCCTGAAATTGAAAGATGGGTTAGCAGGGTATGGGAAGAAGTCTAGTCTCTGGCCAGCCTATAGGCCATACTTAATTTCACTCCTAGGTGAAATTAAGATGAGGGCTGAGTATAGCTTTCCAGGGGTGAGAGGATTCTCCACACCTGCTACTAAAGTTATGGAGTACTTATGCAAACAGGAAGCAAAATTAGAGGCAGTCCTGTGTAGTGTAAGGGCTTTGTCATCAAGCAAGCCTGATTTTTATTCCCTGCTTTCCCAGTTACCTCACTGTGATCTTAGGCTACTCACTCACTTTTGCCTTTCTGTGTTCCAGACTCCTTATCTATAGGCTAAATGGGGGAGGGGAGCGGGGGGCGGGGGGAGAGGCAGTGGCAAAGAGCATAATTTGATTTCAATTCCAAAGGTCTGGGTACATTTAGGAAATTTGTTTCTCTTAGGGTTTCTCAGCATCTGTCAGGATGAATTATTTTTTAAAACATAGCATCTATGAGGATGAATTATTTTTAAAAACATTTGTGTGGTTCATATATATTGTTTCACAGGCAAAGAGGATGGGATATCATAAAACTCTACACTTTAGGTGGAATAATAAATTGATCTTTATCTCTTCCTCTCTTAAAAAAAATCAATAAAATAAAAAATAAAAAAACCCTGAAAACATGACATAATAGAAAAATAACTATATAAAACAAAAAAGAAGAAAAAAAGAAATAACTGCAGATGATAAACTGATCAAGCTTCATTTAGTGAGTGACATAATATACACTATACTCTTAAACAACACGAGCACTGGCCTAGTAGCTCAGTTGGTTAGAGCATCATCCTGATAAGCCAATGTTGCAGGTCTGATCCTTGGCCAGGCCATACATAGGAATCAACCAATTAATGCATAAGTAGGTACAGCAACAAATCAATGTTTCTCTCTTTAAAAGTAATATTTTTTTTTAAGAAAAAACATTAAGAAAAGTCACTAGATTCTTCAACTTATTCCTTTACCTTTTTATCTACTTCAAACATATGATCTGAAAGGTGTAACACTTGGCCTGGCTGGTGTTGCTCAGTGGATTGAGTGCTGGCCTGCGAACCAAAGGGTCACTGGTTCGATTCCCAGTCAGGGCACATGCCTGGGTTGTGGGCCAGGTCCCCAGTTGGGGGTGCTCGAGAGGCAACCACACGTTGATGATTCTCTCCCTCCCTTTCTCTAAAAATAAATAAATACATACATAAAATATTTAAAGGGCGGAACACTAAGCCTTAATGTTACTACTATAGAAAATGAAAACATAAGAATTAGAGTGGACTGGGAAAATAGTAGGGAGTTGGGGAAGTGTGAAGATAGGTAACAGTCACAGACAAACCAGAGGCCAGACACTCAATCAGCAAAATTTCTTGCGGCTAAGCAACCTCGGGCTATCAGAGATTGGTTAACTACTGGGTTATAAAAGGCTACCTCCCACTCCGGCCAGGTAGTTCAGCTGGTTAGAGCATTGCATCTGATATGCCAAGGTTGTGGCTTCTACCCCATATCAGGGCACATATAAGAATCAACGAATGGCCCTGGCTGGTGTGATTCAGTGCATTGAGTGCCAGACTGCAAACCAAAAGCTCACAGGTGTGATTCCCAGTCAGGGCACATGCCTGGGTTGTGGGCCAGGTCCCCAGTGGGGGCATGCAAGAGGCAACCACA